CAGCTATTTTTGCAACCCATGGGCATCTAGACCATGTATTAGGAGTTAAGGTCTACAAAAAAGCTTGGGATATTCCAGCATTTATTGATTATAGAGAGATTGAAGCTCTAAAAATGGGAATTCCACCTTACCCTTCAAAAACAGAAGCCTTAGCGGATTTTTATGAACCTTTATCAGAGGAAATGCTAAAAAGAGCGGGCTTAAAATCATACTACGTACCTGGACATAGTGTCGGAAACACTATATTTTATCATGAAGATGAAAATATAATGTTAGCGGGAGATATGGTTTCTAATTCTGAAGATATGCTACTACCACCAGCATATCGTTATACACTAAACATGGAGGAAGCAATTGATAGTGCTAAAATTTTAGATGTCTTAAAACCAGAATACATTTCAACAGGCCATGGGAAAGTACCGTTTATGAAATATAAAGAAGGAATGTATAGAGATATGTACTGGGGATTTGCTTCTAAACAAAAATAGTTTCAAGAATTTGCGTTTTAATATAACGGCAAAATATATTAAGTTATTATGCCTAAAAAACATTTTAACTTAATTAGATGAGGAGACAATAATGAAATATCCAAAAAGAAAAAGCATCGGTCTTCTTGAAGTTGAAGCCAAGTTTGATAAGGCTATGCCTACGGGAGTCGCGGTATCTAAATCTGGTCGGATTTTTATAAATTATCCAAAGTGGGGAGATGATGTAACATCTTCTGTAGTTGAGATATTGAATGATAACACTGAAGTTCCTTATCCGAACAAGTCAATGAACTTTTATGACCCTAATAGACCTCAAAGCACGTGGCTTAGTGTGCAAGCTATGTATATTGATTACCGAGATTATCTATGGATTTTAGATACGGGGGCACCGTTTTTTAATTCCCCAAATAATAAAGCTGCAAAACTAGTACTAATAGATATAAATAAGGATATTATTTTAAAAACTTACCAATTTTCAGAAGACGTCCTATTAACTACAACTTATTTAAATGATGTTCGTTTTGACTGGAATCGTGGAGAAGAAGGAATAGCTTATATAACAGATTCATCTGTAAACGGTCCTGGAGCAATTATTATTCTAGATCTAGCAAGCGGAGAAGCTCGTCGTGTATTAGATGGTACTCTTTCTACTTCTGTCGATGAAGACATTTTACCCAAAGTCGAAGGGGTTCCTCTTCAAAATGTAGACAAAAATGGTGAAGTCTCTAAGTTTCATGTAGCAGTAGATGGAATTGAGCTCTCACCAGATAGAAAAATTTTATATTTTTGCTCTCTTGTTGGAAGATTCCTTTTTTCTATAGAAACAAACTTATTGTTTTCAAATTTTACAGATGAAGAATTAGAAAGCAAAGTGAAAAAAGTAGTTGAAAAGGGATCTTCTGATGGTTTGATTATGGCTAGTGACGGGACACTATACGCAGGAGACTATGAGAATAATTCAATAATATCTATCAGTGCCTCAGGAGAAGTAACGACAATATTACAAAATGACTTAATCCTTTGGCCGGACTCGATGTCTATTGGAAATGATGGTTATCTTTATATCACTGTAAATCAAGTTCATAGACAAGCGGGGTTTAATGCAGGAGTTGATATGAGGGAAAAGCCTTATCTATTATTGAAAACTAAAATAAATAAGAAACCTTCTAATTAATTTATTAATTACATACAGGGACTGAGTTATCAAATTAGTGAAAAATGATTTAAATGTATTAACTAATTTGATTAAATTTGTCATAACATTAAGTAACTTAATCCAAGAAACAATAATATATCAAAAAAAGGATAAAATTAAATATATGTATAACTTAAAAAATAAAGTGATTGTTATCACAGGTGCTTCAAGCGGGATTGGTAAAGCTACAACAGAAAAGTTAGCAAAAGCTGGTGCTAAACTTATCATCTCGGCTCGTAGGGCATCACTTTTGGAGAAAATTTCAAGTGAATTATCTGAATATGAGGTGAGTTACAAGGTAGCAGATGTAACCAAATTAGATGATATGAAAGAACTTATCAAATTTGCAGATAGTAAGTACGGTAGGGTTGATGCAATGTTCCATAATGCTGGGATTATGCCTATGGGACCTCTATCTGATGGTAGCAATGAATCCAATGAAAAGTGGTTTTCTGCAGTCAATGTTAATATTATGGGTGTTATAAATGGCTTATCTGCTGGTCTTCCGTATATGGTTAAACAGAAGCATGGTCATATGATTGCCATGGGATCAGTTGCTGGGCACTTAGTTTACCCAAATTCGGCGGTTTACTGTGGAACTAAGTATGCTCTCGGGGCAATTATGGAAGGTGTAAGACAAGAGAATATTGAAAATAATATTCGTTCAACAATGATTTCTCCAGGAATTGTCAATACAAATTTAGTTGATAGTGTAAAAAATTCCGATATTGAAGCTTGGGTAAAAGGTGAAACCTCAGATCCATATAAATCATTGAGTCCTGAAGATGTTGCTGATGCAGTTATTTATGCCTTATCTACACCTGATAATGTAGCAATTAGTGAAGTTTTAATGCGTTCTTCTAAACACATACTTTGATAAATCAAATAGATGGAAAAAAGTTTTGAACAAATTAAAAGTTCTTTTGACTCCCAAGCGTATTACGTTTCTGTTAAACTTTCTGTTTTCATATTGATCTTAGGGGTTTATGTTATTGGAATCATCACAGGATGGGATAATAGATATCAAAAAGAAAAGCCTAACTAATGGCTTTTTCTTTTTGATATCTATTATCCCATCTATATGATATGATATCCTATACTAAATATCCTTTATTTAATCTTTAACTCTTTTGTGAATAGAATATCATCGCCATCATAAAGTCGATTTCCTAAACAAGCATATATTTTTAATTCATCGTTACAACTCAATTAATACAACTCTATTCAACACTAATTTATATCTGAAAAATAGTCTCAAAAAAGTTATTACCCTTATAAAAGCGCATTATACAAATTAAAGCCGTCTATAAGTGTAGTTTTAAAGTTTTTATACTAGAGTATATTGTTAAATTTATTCAATATGAGTACAATAATCTATGAAAGCTTTCTGGAATTATCAAGGAAGTATACCCAGTCTTTTGATTCAAGTTGTGAGGGACAGTTGAGAAAACCCCTTAACTGTTTATTATAATATGAATATGCTATAAGCAGAGAGAGTTTGAATATTCTTTTCAGAAATAAAAACGTCTAATAAGACATAACTCCACATGGAAGGCTAGTTAGTTAAGAATATTTTTTAACTTTTAATTTCTCAAACAAGTTCATCATTTCAAAGTTTTTTTCATAAAATATAGTGTATCATTGTTATTTGAATTACTGTCTATTCTACCAAATTCTTCAAAGCCATTTTTTTTATAAAAATTTGGAGCCTGAAAAGAAAAGGTTTCAAGGAAAATGACAGAGCATCCAACTTCTTTAGCCAGATTTTCCGCAACTAAAATAAGTCTTTCCCCAATTCTTTTTCCTCTCAATTTTTCATCAACCCATAAGAAGTTTATATGCATAAACCCTAAGTAATATTCTAAAGAAATGCCCGCTAAATACTCAAAATTTTTTTCGTATGCGTAGCATATTTTTTCACCAGAGCTTTCTTTTAATATTGGTTTTTTAGACATATTATACTCAACAATATTATTTTCAAGAAATTCGTGAAAACAATCGAATGAAATCTTTTTTATCATATATTTATCTCTTTTCAAAAATTAGTAATATAATGCACAAAATAAATTATATCGTAAAACAGCTGTATAACAAAACGATTCGCTTTTGCTTATGGTATATTTGAAACTCTAGATAATTATATATAAACCTTATAAAAAATTTTTTATAAGAACTGAATAAGCATTTGTTTTTAATATTCTCAATTGAGAGATTGAACTATTTAATTAATGTATAATATTTGAGAATTTCTATTCCTTGACTTAGAGTAACTATCAGATGATAAAATTAGATATAATTATATTAATAACCCAAACTTAGTTTATAACTAATTTACATTAATAATTATTGTATAGTCTAATGTGCTAATTTATGATTTAAAATTTTCGTATTAATTCGAGGTAACGAGCAATGGTAAATAAAAACTTTATCTTAATTTCAATATTATGTTTATTAACACTTTTAGCAGCAATGAATTCTGTTATTTTCAATGTTGCAATTCCTAATATATCTAATGATTTGGCATTAACGTCTTCTCAAGTAAGCTGGATTTCTGTTGGGTATACGTCAATAACTGCGGTAGGCTCATTAGCATATGGAAAATTATCTATAAAATATCCTATCAGAAGACTATTACATATAGGTATATTATTATTTTTCATTGGCTCTCTAATTGGATTCTTAGGTTCACACTTTTATCTACTAATTATATTGGCAAGACTCATTCAAGCCAGCGGTAGCTCATCTTTTGTAATCTTATCTATGCTTACTATCAATAAGTACATACCTATAAAACTTAAAGGAATTTCTCTGTCTCTTTTGAGTATTTCTATTGCCTTAGCTTTGGGAGTAGGACCTTTGTTAGGGGGAATTATAACAAATCGCACTTCTTGGAACTATCTATTTTTAATTATGTTGATTAGTATATTTCTTCCTCTAATTATCAACATAGTGATGCCAAATGAAGTTAATAGTTCTTTTTCAAGTTTTGACTATGCTGGATTAGTTTTGACGTTTATACTAATAATAACTATTATGTTAAGCATCAATAATAATTATCTACTTATTACCATCTCTCTAATGATAGGTACTGTCCTTATAAATTACTCTAAACGTAAAAGCAATCCTTTTATAGATTTATCTATTTTTAAAAATCGCCTATTTAGAATTTTTATATTAATGGGATTCCTATTGAATGCTTGTCATTTAGCTGTTTTTTTTATAATTCCCATATTATTATCTAAAAAATTTCACATAAGTCCACAGGAAATAGGATTTTTATTTTTTGGGGGTAGCATTTCTGGTATTTTTTCTAGCTTATATAGCAAAAAGTATATCGTACAAAAAAAAATTTTTTTTGTTTTAATTTTGTCCTTGTGCACTATTTTAGTAGGTACAGCCAGTCTGGCTATCCTATCAGAGTACAGGATATACTTAATTGGTATATCATTCATCCTAATTTGTATTGGTTATTCACCAATTCAGATAGGACTAAATTTACTTGTATCACAAGAATTACCTGAGTATAATAGCAGCAATGTGTTAGGAACATATAACATGTTTAACTTTATTGGGATGGCTTTCGGACCAGCTCTTATAAGCAAAGTTAGCACAGCTTTTAATAACTATTCGGTTACATTTTTGGTCTGCTTAGCTTTAGCTTGGTTTAATCTATTGTGCTTACTTTTGATTAAAAAGAAAATAGGATAATGTAAGATTATAAGTTACTTTTAATGTAGACTATATTTAGCATTTAGTGTAGTCCTTTATATAAAGTAACCGGAAAAGTTGTTTTTAGATCAATTTCTTCACCATTTAATTTTTTTCTAAAATTGTTATGGCATTGGAAGCCATTAATTCAATAGGTTGTACTACAGTCGGTAAATTAGGCATTAAATTCCTGCATAATTTTGTTCCATCAAAACCAATAATTTTGATATCTTCAGGAATTTTTTCCCTAATTTTTGAGCAACTTTCATTATGATAGCTGCTTCAACGTCATTTCCTGCAAAAATTCCATCTAAATTAGGATATTTAATAAATATTTCCTTGAAGTGTTTTTTCTTCTCTTCATTATTCATATCGAAATATATAGGGTAGCTGCAGGGGGTTAGCCCAAAACTCATCATCGCATCTTTACATGCCTTATCTCTAAGGTTACTAGGCATATCTATGTTAGATCTCCCTGTAGTATGTATTATATTTCTACATCCTGCTTCATATAAATAATTTGTGGCTAATATTCCTCCGTTATAGTTATCGCATTCTATAACAGGTATTTCTTTACTGACAGTTCTTTCTATAGAAACAATTGGAAGATTCTTACATTGATACTCTTTGATCCCATTATTATGGGTTCCCACTATTAATCCATCGATTTGCTTTGTTAGTAATTGATTCAAATAGTCTTTTTCCTTCTGAGGATCATTTAAAGAATTCCCAATTATAACTTTGTACCCTTTACGATACAATCCTTTTTCAAGTTCTTCAATAAGTTCAATAAGTTCACCAAAGAAAGGATTGCTTACCATCGGGAATAGCAACCCAATGATATTAGTTTTTTGTTGAAATAATTGCCTTGCAAGGATATTAGGATGATAATTTAATTCTTGCATCGCTTGGTAGACTTTCACTCGCGTTTTTTCACTAATATAACCTCTATTGTTTAAAACTCTAGATACAGTAGTTTTAGATACATTTGCTAAATGAGCTACATCTTCTAATTTAGATTTCATATTCGTACTTTTATCCTTTATAAAATTATATCAAAAAACACCTCCCTTTGTAAGTTAGGTGTTATTATTTTACTGTTGCATTTTTTGCTTTGCTAATGCAAAATTTCCTAAAGAAGCTGATCCATTATTCTCTATGGTAGGTGTAGTAATGTATTCCTCCATTGGAGGTAGCTCAATATAATTATTTAGCATTTCTTTTAATATTATTCTTACCTTAGCTAGCAAATTTTCACTTATTACACTTCCGCCAAATATAATTTTTTCTGGGCGAATCAGTAACGTGCTTTGTAGAGCTGCCTGCGCAATATAATAGGCAACCTGCTGATAAATTTCATGAGTGTCTTCTACATTCTCTCCCTTAATACCTAATCTTTTTTCAAATGATGGGCCTGAAGCTAATCCTTCTAAACAATTTTTATGAAATGGGCAGCAACCATCAAATGTTTTATCTTCTTTATGTCTTCGTACTATGGTGTGACCCATTTCTGGATGACCTAGTAGACCAAGAAATTCTCCATTAAAAATAGCACCACCACCAACGCCTGTTCCTATAGTATAGTAGACCAAGCTTGAAGTATGACCCTCTTTTTCTTGGAGCTTCACATATTCTCCATATGCTGAACCATTGACATCTGTAGTCCAAGATATTGGAACCCTAAAATGTGTACGGAGATTTCCTACAATATCTATATTTTTCCAGCCCTCTTTTGGTGTACTTGTAATATATCCATACTTTATACGATTCTAAAAAAAAAACAAACTTAATCAACTTTTATTTTCAATCATTCATTCACATACTACAATAATTGATGAATAGTTTATTGTAAGTGCTCTTAATTAGTCGCTAAACAATATTTCTTTGGTCTTACGTGTAACAAACATATTCCAGTATAGCGGGGCAATGTTTTTGGGGGCGCTAGGGCTATGTTCTTTAATGGATGCCGCAATTGTTATTGTCCCAACAAATATACCTGATGTTTTCAATTTATCATGAAGTAGAAAAGTAAGGACTCTCAGAACTGACTTATCTATTGAGACCCTGGATTTATGATAATCTGGATGAATTCCAAGTCCCCCACCTGTTGTAATTATCGCTCCCGAATTTTTTTTAAGTGAGATAATATAGGATGAACGAAATTTAACAAGCTAGTTGAATTGTTTTCTATAGAGCTCAATACTTCTTCAGGCTCAAGTTTAATAATATTATCATCTCTTCTTAAATTTAAGTTGAATATAACAAGTTCTATCTCATGCAAAGAGGTCATTTCTAATAATGATTGACTTACCGCTTGCTTATCTTTACTATTCGCTATCCAATATTCATTTAAGATATTTTTTTCAGACAATTTTCTTTTAAATTTAAAAAGTTTCTCGTTATTTCTAGAAATCGTTAAGATTTTATATCCCTGTCTACCAAATATTTTTGCAATTTCCATCCCCAAGCCATTGACACTTCCTGGTCCGATAATTAAAATACTTTTCAATATTTACCTCCTAATTTAAGTCTTATTAATATTATTCGTTTGTGTAGTTCTCTTTATTTTTAGCTAATTTTTTCTCAAATGGGTTAAATATTCTATCAGTTTTATTATTTATACGATTTCTATAACTAGTTATCTTATAGTCCACCATATCTAGCATTTCTTTTGTTTCAGAAAGTTGAAGAAGTATACTCTCTCTTTGACTTTCCAGCAGCTTTAATCTCTCTGGGATAGTTTGATCTCCTTCAATACACATGATAATATATTGTCGTATTTTTGCAATAGGTAACCCCGTTTCTCTAAGACATTGAACAACATAGACCCATTCCAAGTCATTTTCAGTAAAAATGCGAATATTTCGTTCGTTTCTTTTCACAAAAGGAAATAAACCTTCTTTATCATAAAATCTCAAAGTATATGGTGAAATACACATTATTTTTGAAACTTCCTTTATTGTTAACATAAAAACCTCCTTTTTTACGATTATTTACTAACTTAATATTTACTATCTAAAGGATATTACTAGATAGACATCTAAATAATAAAAGATTTATATCTATACACTAAAAAAATGAAATTTAAAACTTATAATTATTATACTACACTTTAAAAAATCATGATATAAATATTCTTCTTATATTTTTAGCATTATTATCAAATGTAAATATAGTTAATTTCATATATTATAAATAACCTAATTATAGTATACATCATTAGAGTAACTATCAGTCAATAAAAATTATAAAGTAACTTCGATATTTTTACATTAATTTTTATAAATACGCAATTACTTTAAAGCTAGAAGTTTCTGTATAAATTCCTTCATATATCTATTATAATAAGCACTAATAATCCTACTTTTATGTTACTGAAACGAAACTATTGACTTAGAGTAAGTCTAACATGTTATTATACATAATATGACTTATACTATAATATATAGCATATAAATTTTTAAAAGATAAAGGATAGAATAAATGGATATTTACTTGAAAATAGCTATAATTTTACTAATAGCCTTGATAAGTGGGGAATTATGCATAAGAATAGGCATACCTTCTGTAGTGGGACAATTGATTGCAGGTGTACTTGTAGGTCCTTCGTTACTTTCCATAATTAATATAGATCAGGAACTATCTTTGTTCTCAAATATTGGTGTTATTGCATTAATGTTTATGGCAGGTCTAGAGAGTAACTTATCTAAAATTAAAAAGTATCTTATTCCTGCTTCAAGCGTTGCTCTAGTTGGTGCTCTAGTTCCTTTTTTTTCTTTTATAGCTTTTTCTAGGTTCGTTTTAAACGAGGGTTTAGAAGTTTCAATCTTATTTGGAATCTTATTTGCGGCCATGTCAACATCTATAACAATAGATACTCTGAAAGAATATAATAGTTTAAACAATAAAAATGGAGTAACAATCATGACTTCTGCAATATTTGATGATATCATAGCAGTTTGTACGTTATCTGTTTTTTTGACACTTTATGGTGTATCAGACACAAAGCAAACGGCTTCGCTATTAGTAATGATTTCGGAGCAAATATTCTTTTTTATATTTATTTTCATAGTTTCAAAGTATTTCATTCCATATTTTACATTAATCTTCGATAAGCTTAAATTACCATTTTCAAATTTAATCGGTAGTTGGATTATAGTTTGGTTAGCTGTAGGTAGTGCCAGTATATTTGGGGTTTCGGATATCATTGCAGCTTTTATTTGTGGTGTTGCTATAAGTGAAACCAAAATAAAAGATGAAGTACTTTCCCTAACATCTATACCTGCTTTTTCTATTTTTGTCCCAGTATTCTTAGTATCAGTTGGTTTAGAATTACATAGTTTATATATTCCAAATCTATATATATTAATAGCTGCTGTGGCTCTATCAGTAGTAAGCAAATTATTTGGAAGTGGTTTAGGAGCTTATGTTACTAAAAAATACACAATAAATGATTCAGCTATTATAGGTTCGGGGACAGTCCCTCGCGGAGAATTTTCCGTTGTGATTGCCCAAATAGGAAGTGATAATAAAATAATCACTGACAATATGCACTCGTTTATTTTAATTATTATTATATTATCTACTATTCTAGGACCCTTAATGCTAAAATATTTCTTGAAGAAAGAAAGTAGATGTCTCAAAGAAGATTAGATTGCAAAGTTCAAAAGTTAAAACACCATTTCTTACTATTCGTTATCTTAAGCTGGTATTCATATTAATATTTGAGTTTTAGCAACCACCTATAACTGAAGAATTATTTCGTACTCTCTCAGTTCTTTTGGTATATTCTTCGAATGTTCTCTCCCTCTTGTATTGTTTTTGAGGTAGGTCATCCCAATAATCAGGTAAAAGTTATTCCATCTTTTAATAGGGCATATTCATACGCAATTATGCTATTTAGACCTTTGACGATCCAATGATCAGTTTTAATATATAATCTATTTCTAAATGAAGGGCTAGTACATTCTTGAATAAATATATTAATAATTGTTTTGCAACACTCCATCTCTTGGTCATAAATCATCTCCTCAGCCTCTCGATAGCTCTTATTATAATTCAGGTAATCACAAACAGCTACAATAATTCCTTATTTTTAAGTACTTTTTTTAAAGCTCTATTGGAATTCCTTAGCTATACTTCTTTAATTTCATAATAAATTAGACAAATCGAAAAAAACTTCACGAAACAGCTTGATATAATTGATAAAAAATAAGTTAAAACTATATCAGCACTATAGATCCTAAAAATTTATAGATTTTAATTTTTGTTACTTTATCTTAACATGTTATAATTGGCACGTAAGATTACATTACATATTTAGAAAAAATTTACTATAGCGTGAGTAGTAAAAACAATTGTTAGTGTATAGACAATTTGTATTCATACATTTTATAGCAAAGGAGAAAAATGAATAAAACTTTAAAAGCTATTATTAAAAGTGGAGATAGTGGTATTAGCGCAGCAGTTGCAATTGCTTTTCCCATGAAGGAGCGGATACTGATATTGTATATCATGAAAATGATGAAGATGCTTTGATTGTTAAAGAACACATAATAGAATCGAGTCGATCGGTTTATTTATATAATGTATTCATGTTAATGGTGGATCAACCGTAAATCGTTAAGCTCATTTATATTCTTTATCTTCATTTTTTAAAAACTAAATATGCTAAATATAAACTTTCAAACAAAAAAGAATGCCATCAATTTAATGGTATTCTTTTCTGCTTAAAACTATTTTACTCTAGAACCATCAACTTTGACATCTTTTACCTTATCCTTAACTTTATCAACCTGATTAGAAGTAAACTTACTTGTCGTTTGTGCGGCATCAGTAACCTTATCTTGCAGACTTACTTCATCTTCTTCCTGTTGGGCTTTAGTTTTGATATCAATAACTGAAACATTTACTTCCACAACTTCTAAGTCAGTCATTCCAGCTACTTCTTTACGAATAATCTCTTTCATTGCTTTGTAGATTTCTGGAACACTTTTCTTGTATTCAGTAATAATTTTAAGATCTACAGCCACTTGCTTTTTCCCAACTTCTACATCAACTCCTGCAGTAACATTGTCAGTATTTACTAATTTCCCTGTTAGATTTGAGAAAAATCCTCCATCAACTGCAAGAAGTCCATCAACTGATTCCAAAGCCAAACCTACAATTTTTTGAATCACTTTGTCTTCATAAGTCAATATTCCTTTGATTTCATTTACGTTTTGTTTGTTATTTGTTTCTACCATTATGATTCTCCTTTTAGTTAAAAAATTATTTGTTTTTTAAGTGTTCAATAATCCCTAATTTTTGGATATAATACCCAACTAAAGCTCCCATTACAATAAGAACAAGAAGGAGCACTGTTTTCCAAAAGCCTATCGTAAAGATTAATAGCGTTAAAAAAGCTCCTACGATTCCACCAATAATTGGACATTTATATTCTTCTAAAAATGTCATCTCTGCTCCTAATCTACGCGAATGCTAGAAGAATCTTTTTTAGCTGCCAATCCTCTAACTTTCACTTGTACTATCAACTTATGATTTATACCAAAGAAGTTTTGCAAGTCACTTTGTAAAGAATGAGAAATTTTCTCTATTCTTTCGACAGCTTCTTCTCGTGGTAAAATTTCTCCTTTAATAAGAACTTTTACCTTTTTCTTAAACAATTTGATTTTGATGCTCGGCTGTCTTATATAACCTAGTTCCGTAATGTTTTCTCTGACCAGACCCTCAATAGCAGCACGTTTTAGCACCAAGTGCCCCATTTGATCATCCAAAATAATCGATAAATATGTTTTGGGTATAAAACAAAATGTAATTAAGGAAATAAAAAGAACTAATGCTAAAACTGAACAAAAAATAAAGATGTATTGTGGAACATACTGACCAAAGCCTGAAACCTGTGTCGCTTCTTTAATTTTCCATGTAAAGTTCATAGCATTAAAGTTTTCCCACAAAATTAATAGAATCAGAGATAACATGATAAGATCAATGAATATAAAAATTCCTTTTTTTATTCTAGACACTAAATTCTCCTATTACCTTCCACTTTTTGGTTATTGCTCTAGCAATTAAACCTATAAGAGCTCCGATAATTAATGACCAAATCATTATTGACTCCTTTCTGTATGGTTAATCTCCTATAATATATCAGCTTTTTTAATGCAATTCAAATCATCTGCTCATTTTTTCAAAAAATTACAAATCATTTGTAGTTTATAAAAGATATCTTTTTTATTAAATACACAAAAATAAATAAATCTCTTTTTATAATATGTTATTGTTCTGTAACGATATAAACCTTTTTAAAGATAACGGAAGAATTATGAGTTTTTCCGATATTGGCTTCTTAAAATTACAGTCAGGCATCACAGAATACATAAGATTATGATAGAATTAATGATGTCTATTTAGGAGAATACTTATCAGGAAAATCAAAATAAAGAATTGGACACTCTAACTGATTATTATATGCTGTGATCAGTTTTTTTTATTTAATTTTCTCCTTTTTTAAATATTGATGAATATTCGCTTATATTTATATGAAATATTATATCTGCTTCACTCCAGTACTTTTAAGAAGTTTTCTAAATTATTTTTGCTATAATTAGCGTTAAAGAAAAAGGACTATTTTTTACAACAAGAATGTATTTTTAAAATATAGTACTACATAATAGTTTTTCAACCAAGTAGCTTATTGTTTGGGATAATCCTTGGATTTATAGTTGGACCAGTTGTTCTATTCTCAAGAAAATTTAATAGAGTATGTTTGACGTGACGTATACTAGTATCAAGTTTTATTCATTTCACGAGTGATCAATGAGACTTAATGATATTACTGAACATAAAGAAACAACTAGCTAGATTGGTTTTTTATGTTCACAATAATTCTCTAACTAAAGTACAAAAGAGGTACAAACTAAAAAAATCGAAACCTTTTTTATTCTGCTATAAGTGATAAAATAAATAAATAAATAAATAAATAAATAAATAAAAAAACAGACTACTTCAAAATCACAATTCTGTTTTTTTAATATCCTCATGAAACACTTTATCTTGAAAATTTTATCTTATTTTTTGATTTGCTTTTGCGAATCTTTAAAGTCTTTTTTTGTTTCAGTTTGAGCCTCACTCACAATTTTTTTAATATCATTACGCTTAACTGCCCAGCCTGTAATTACTCCAAGGAGATACAAACCCAAGATAAGAAAGAAAACAGGAATGTTGACAGAGAAAAAAACAAGGTTAACTGTTACGGGTTTCAAATTTTGAAAAGCGAAACGTAGAACTAGAATAAAGATTACAAGAACTAAAATACGTTTTGGGGTTACAATTTTTTTAAGTTTTTCCAAAGTAAGCTCCTAACTGATTGATTTTAATAGTATATCAAAAAATAGAGCGAGATAAAAGATCATGGTCTTTACGGAAATCAAAAGATTAATGGGAATGCTTGCTTGAGATGATGAGTAATCTTAAAGCTTATCTTTATTTTTAAAACTTCGCAACAGAACTTGATTAAGTAATATTTTTATAAATAATAAAAGATCTTTTCGGATTTCATAATGCTTATGAGAGTTGTATAAGGTGGAGCTATTACTATAATAGGGTTAATATGAGATCATATTAAAGTAGGGACCCATCTTTTCTTTAAAAATAAAGGATATAAAAATATGAACGAAAATAAATTTAAAATTGAAATTAAGGCACTAGTGACTGCTAGAAGAAGTATTTTTATAAATGTAAGCCAAGATAAAGTCATGAATATATTAAAAGAGATCCCAAATTGGTTAGAATGGAGGAGTGATATTGAATCTGTGAACTTACTTTAAGGTATTGAAGTAGGGTTGGAGTTTAAATGGAAATAAAGCGGATTGAAATATCATTCAACTATTCATACATTATCAAATACAAAGTTTGGATAAACAGGAAAAACGATAGGCACATATGCTATCTATAATTGGGCAATCACAGCAGAACAAGAAGTAGTAACCGTTGATGTTTGTGAAGGTTTAACTGGTATGGCAATAAGATTATTACGTAAAAAAAAGAAAGATGAACTACCTGAGTTATTAGAAAAGGACTTAAAAGACCTTAAAAAGTTTGTGAGAATTGATTTGATTAACTAAAGTTAAGCGATTCTCATATTATGAGTGATAAAAAAGGTTAAAAATCGCCAATTATGGCAAATTTATTATAAAATGAGATGGTTTTTAATCTAAACACCTGGGATATTTTTATAGAAAATATGATTTGCTTATCTTCAAAATTTATGTTATTTTTAGAGAGTCTTAAACAAAAGCAAAAAGCATTCTGATTTAACACACGATTCGTCAGAGTGTTTTTTCTTTCTTAAATAAACGAGATGACAAAAAAACGAAGTTGTGATAAAATAAAGGTAAAGAAAAAAGGACTTGCGTCAACAAGTCCAATGTAGCCGATTAAAAGTCGGTGGCAACATTTAGTTCAAGAACCGTTAACGTGCCAAAGCTAGACGGTTCTTATTTTTTTGCGATTTTTTCAATCAACAAAACGATAAATGTAAGCAAACTAATTAGAAAACCGCAAGCTGCGATAACTAACATTGCTACATCCACCATAAGAGTGCTCCTTTCTGTTGGATTTTGAACTTACGTACATAAGCCTCACCACCTTTCAGAGCCACCGTCTATTTAAACTTCTACATTCATCATTATAACAAAAAAAAACTTTACAAGCCATTATGTCAAGCACCAGTTAAAATGGACACTAAAAAAGGATATAGTATCTGGTAAAGAATAGAATAGAAAATATATTTTGACTTCGCTTCTAAATATTTATATACTTATATCTAAGGCAAATAGAAGAGAGTATATTCTATTCTGTAATTAGTTTAAAGAGGAGCTATTCACATGTACACTATTGGTGAAGTGTCAAAAATGTTTAATATTCCGATATCTACATTGAGATATTATGATAAAGAGGGATTATTTCCAAAGATTGAAAGGAAATCTGGGATTCGTCAATTCTCTGAAGAAGAAATTGAAGCAATCAGAGTTTTGGATTGTTTGAAAAAATCAGGATTGAAAATTAAGGACATTAAACATTTTATCGAGTGGACACAAGTAGGAAATGAAACACTACAGGTCAGAAAAGAACTTTTTGACAAGCAGAAAATTCAAATTCAAAGTGAAATTGAAAATCTCAAAAAAACACTTGATATGATTAACTATAAATGTTGGTATTATAATGAAGCCTTAAAGGCAGGCGATGAAAACTCTGTAATCACTAAAATTCCTAATGATTTACCACAGGATATCAAGGAGAGCTATTTTAATTCTCACTCATAAAATAAAAAAACTCGAAAGAAAAATTTTTCTCTCGAGTTTTTTATTTAAATTTTCTTTATTAGCTTAGCAGGGACACCACCAACAATAGAATTAGCTGGGACATCTTTTGTTACTACTGCTCCTGCAGCAACAACGGAGTTTTCTCCCACGGTTACTCCTTGAAGGACCGTTGCGTTAGAACCAATCCAAACATTTTTCCCAATATGAATGGGAGCGGGGATCAAATTCTGGCGTCTACTTGGCTCTAGGTCATGATTTAACGTCGCAAGAACAACATTATGTCCAATAAGCGCTCCTTCATCTATCCATACTCCACCAGTATCCTGAATTCTTACACCAGCATTTATGAATACGTTTTTGTCTATATGTAAGTTCCTTCCGAAATCAGATGAAAAAGGAGGAAAGATACTTACTGATTGATCTATTTCTTGCCCTGTAAGTTCCGAAAGCAAAGAAATAAGTTCATTTTGTTTATGATATTTACCATTAATTTCTGCACAAATACGTTGAGCTTTGGTAGAAATTTTAGACATATAAGTGAATATCTCGGTCCCTGATTCAAGCATTTTTCCAGCCTGGACGTGTTCTAAGAAAGCTATATAATCCATATCTTATCCTCACTTCTCTCTATACACTTTGGTTAGCTGGACGAATTAGTACTTCAGATACGGTTACATGCTTTGGTTGATTAATAGCATAAAGTACAGCATTCGCAACATCAATAGGCAAGAGGGTCATTCCACTGTCAGTAGAACCATTAAATAAATCAGTCAAACCTTTCTCAATCTCGCTGTTGCCCACAGTACTAATAAGCTCGGTTGACACGGCACCTGGACTGACAATAGTTGAACGAATTCCAGATTCTCTTTCCTCTTGTCTTAAACCTTCCATGATCGCTCTCACCATAAATTTAGTTCCATTGTATACAGCTGATGCCGGATAAACAACGTGACCAGCTACTGAATCAGTTGAAATGATTAACCCATCTTTTTGGCTACGCATTGTTGGTAAAACAGCAGTTATTCCGTTAAGAACTCCCATTACATTGATATCAATCATTTCTTGATAGCTTTTTAAATTTCCTTCACGAAGAAATCCTTGCGGCATAATCCCAGCATTATTATATAGTACATCTATATGTCCATGAATTTCTAATGTATAATCAATAAGGGATTTTACCTCATCAAATTTTGAAACATCTGTTTTTTTATAAGATACATTAGGGCCCAACTTATCAGCAAGTTCCTTCAATCGCTCTTCGCGTCTTGCTCCCAAAACAACTTTTGCCCCTTGTTCAACGAGTAGTTTAGCCGTTGCTTCTCCTATACCTGAAGAAGCGCCTGTAATAATAACAACTTTATCTTTTATCATCTCTATTTTCCTTCCATTGTTTGTTTATCAAATATTATGTCTTCAAAAGTTTATTAGAATCTATTTATCCCAATAACATTCGCTTACACTATAATTATACTTCTAAATATTTATTAAAGAAACTTTCCAATTCATCAAATGGAATGATGTTTTTTTGATCATACAAATCTGTATGAGAAGCTCCAGGGATAATCATAAGTTTTTTATTATCTCCTTTTAGAGTTTTAAAAGCATCTTCACCAAAGTAGCGTGAATGAGCATTTTCACCATGTATAACTAAAACAGCATTCCGTATTTCACTGCTATAAGATAAAAGTTTACCATTCATATATGATAGAGAAGAGGTGATAGCCCAACCTTTATTATAGTTAACTGAACGCTTATGATATCCTCTTTCTGTCTTATAGTAATCATGATTAAGCTTTTACAAAATCAACTGCATCTTCAGGCAATGGATCAACAACCCCACCAGCTCTTTCATAAGTATTTGATTGGAAATCTATATTTCTTTGAGCGTTTAAATTCTCTTTTAATTCATAACGCTGGTCTTCATCTACTGAATCAAAGTAACCTTTTGCGGCAATTCTTGTCATATCATACATAGTGGATACCACAGTAGCCTTAATCCTTGTATCGATAGCAGCAGCATTTAGCGCTAGTCCTCCCCAACCACAAATACCTATGATTCCAATCTTATTTGAGTCAACTTTTTCATGATTCCATAAAAAGTCCACTGCTGCTTGAAAATCCTCAGTATTGATATCTGGTGAGGCAACATCCCTAACTTCTCCACCACTTTCACCAGTGAACGAGGGATCGAAGGCTAGAGTAAGAAATCCTCTTTCGGCCATCTCTTGAGCGTATAAACCAGAAGACTGTTCTTTAACTGCTCCAAATGGTCCAATTACTGCAAGTGCTGGGAGCTTTTCTTTATTTTTGGTTCATATAAATCTGCAGCAATAACAATCCCAAAACGATTTTTGAAAGTCACTTTATTATGACTTACTTTATTGCTTTTTGGAAATACTTTATCCCAATTTGAAGTTAGTTTTATTTCATTACTCATCTTTTCTCCTCTAATATATCTAAAGAATTTATATTTACAACTTTATTATAATACCTAAAGCTAACTTTAGGTCAAGCTAGAAGATTATAGGGGAACAAAATTTATAAATTTTATGGAGAGTTTATCATATAGCGTATTGATATTTAAAATTTAGCTTTTATAATTTTTTTACTGATAGTAATCATTTCTATATTCTTTTGGAGACATTCCATTTAGCTTTTCTTGTGGCCTATCTTCATTGTACCAAACAATATAATCGTCAACCTGGTCAATCAGTTCATTTTCGTTCTCTGCTTTTTTTAGATATAAATGTTCTGATTTAAGATGAGAAAAAAAGTTTTCACAACAGGCATTATCATAGCAGTTTCCTTTACGTGAATGAGAAATTTTTACACCTAGACTTTCAAGCGTATCTTTATAAATTCGTGTCGTATATTGGAAGCCTTGGTCCGAATGGAGTATACAATCATAATTTTTCTTACAAAAAACTTGAGATAAATTATCCATGACAAGCTTAATATCATTCTTCTTTGAAATTTGATAAGCTAATATTGAATTGTCAAAAAGATCTTTGACAACGGATAAAAAAAGTCGTCCATTTTTGTGATATATATAGGAAACGTCTGTCACTAATTTCTCCATGGGTACCTTTGCTTGAAAGTTTCTATTAAGAATATTAGATGAAACAATGATAGAATTTAGAGACACTTCTTTTCTAGAATAGTGGAAGAATTTCTTTTTACGAATAGGAGATTTTATATTAAGAATACGCATATATCGCAAGACTTTTTTAGGGTTTCGTGTAATTTCATACTTTCTTTTTAATTGAAATGTGATGTAACGATAACTTTTCTTTCGTTCATTGAATAGTAGCAAGATTTTTGAAGCCAAATCCTTATCATAATTTTTGTAATAAGGTTTATCTAATTTTTTCCAAGCATAATAACCGCTTCTCGAAACTTCAAAGTATTTACACAAATGCGAGATTGGATATTGATAACACAGCTCATCAATTGTTTTGAAAATCAATGTTTTTCTTTGATGAACTGAACCCACTTTTTTAGAATTGCGTTCTCCATAGTCAAATAATCAATCTTCTCTTGTAAAAGTTCTTCTCTAGATTTGTCAGTTTTTGAAGATAGTTTTTTTCTCCCTCGATTTTCTCGATGGAGACTTGTTGGATCCTCACGATATTTTTTTACCCATTTCTTTAATTGCGAAACGTTCCTAACATCATAAATTTTGGCAACAGTATTTAGCCCTCCATGTTGGCCTGAAAGATATTCTTTGACTACCTTTTCTTTAAATTCTCCAGTGTACTTTTTGTTTTTTCTCATAGAAAAACTCCTTCTAAAATGATTTTAACATAGGGCTTTATTCCTATGTCCATTTTAGCAGGAGCTATTCATTAAGACTTGTATGGTGTTTTAATTTAAAATTATTTTCTCAAAGAGAAAATATTATAATATTTTTCCTTCTTTTTTCTTTATTTCTTTATTTCTTTATTTTCTTCAAGAGTGGCTTTAATTTCATTGAAAGTATTAATCTCATTAACGGTTTGTTCAAATTTATTTTTGAGTATTTTTCGACTCATTTTTTCAGATTGAAGTTCCTGGTGAATATCCAGGTATTTTAATTTTGGATTGACACTCAGTTTCTCCAGTTCCTCAAGTGTTGTTTGAGAATAACCTGACTCAACTTCAATAAGTAATTTTGAAATTTTGGTTAACTCCATGATTTTATCATCAATGATAGAGAGTTTTTCTTCCACATCCCCAAGAGCAGCCATGAGTTGGCTCTCCATATTGTTAAATTGAGTCCCTTCAGTAACGCCATGTTCAGCTAAAAAGTTAATCGCATCGACTAATTCATTAATTGTGGATATCACAGGCTCTTTCTTTAAAGGAACAGTTCCATTATAAAGCCCTAACTGTTTTGCGAGGTCATGACCAGTCAAATATTTGGTGAAGGAGGCCTCCTTTTCACTCAAGAGACGAAAGGTTTCATTTTTTTTTAGGTAAAGCACACAGTCCCCATTTTCAAGTTGGTCAACTTTATAACCTCCAATAAAAATTTGACCACGATCCGCAATCCCAAAGTCAACGTTAAGGTAAAATCCTTTACTTGTCATGTGGTCTATTTGCCATTTTTCAACCGTGACTTGATAATCAAAATCTTGTTTGACTACGTCAACTTTTTCCTCATAACGATCTATTACTTCATCAACCGTAAGTGAAAGCTCATTTGTTTCGAGTCGTTCAATTATAGATTCCAAATTGTATTTTTCAGGATGTTTTTTATCAAGATTCCGTCCACGTGTGTTTTTCATTTGAGGTTCATCAAGCAGCCGATAAGTGGCCCACTTGCCAGAAAAATCAAAGGATAAATTTAAAGCCGTTGCTTTTCTTTTGAAGTCTTCAATATCTGATGACATTTCTAAAAGATAGTCTAAACGTTGCTTAATTTGACTTTTATAAATGGACTGAGTTTGCCATTTTGTATATTTTAAGTGAGAGTTACCTGGAGACTTTTCAATGATTTTTGCGCCATAACGTGAAGCAATTTTATCAGAAACTTTTTCAAAATTATTTTTGGTCACATCATAAGCTTTACCGCTTTTTGTTTTCTCTTTAGGAATGACTTTCCACTCAAATTGTTTGCCAGTATAAAGATTCGTAGAATTAAAAATGATATGGTTATGGATGTGTTCACGATCAACGTGAGTTGCAATCACAAATTCATATTCACCGCCAGTAAATTCTAAGATGGTTTGACGCCCAATTTCATGAATTTGTTCTGGGGTCAGTTCATCATCTGGAGAAAAAGATTGGATAAGATGATGGCCAAGCACAGCATTATTTTTCTCTAAGCTTTCAATGTTAAATTTTATCTTTCCAGTTTTGGGGTCAAAATTAAATTCATTCCCTTTAGCTAGAGCTTTTAATTTTTTTGTGGCAATAAATTCGTTAGCCGCATCATAAACATTTGTGATACCATGACCAGAAACAAGCTGCATACTCATTGTCTTATCTGGGTTAGAAATATAGGGGAAGAGATTAGTCAGATGTTCTGGGTTACTCTCATTAACTAATGTTTTTTCTGCTTTTTCTACATAGTCTTTTGCCTGACGTAGATGTTTTAATTTATGAACAATAATGTGTTTTGTGTAAACCATCAGATTAATCTTTCTTGTTTCAATTCTTCTTTAAATCGTTCTGAAATCATTGCTTGAATTTCAGAGAGCTGCTGAGATAAATCATTAATGTCTTCTCCTGATATTTCTTTAAATTGATGAGCGAGTTTAGCAATCTGGTTAATGTTATTTCCAATTCGATTGACTTCTCCATTAAGCCTTTGAAGCTCAGAATAATCAACCATTTTAACTTCGCCTGTGAGCAATAATATTCGAGCATAGTTTTGAAAATTATTGAATGGACTTCGCTCAATTTTATCTTTCAAATAATCATTTTCTTCTTTTGAAAATCTTATAATTTTTTGAATCGGTCTTTTTAAAATATATTTTTTACTCATTTTTTTCCTTATGTTCTTTCCAGCTATTACATCATAAAAAACTTTTGATACTCCAAATTTATTGAGATAAGTTTCAAAAAAATTTGCCTTCGGCGAGTAGGAGGACACCAACTTTCCCCCTACACCCCTTTTGAGGAAAAACAAACTGTTTTCCTCGCCTCTTAGCCCAGGGGGACGAGGTTTCACCTTTTGCAAGCATAGTAAGATGATAGCATCTTACGGAATTTAAGAAATGGATAAGGTTTCTTCCTTATCCATTTACTTAATTTTTGGGGGTGTCCCCAATCCCTTTTTTTATGAAAAGTAGTTTCTACTTCTCATTTTTTCTTTTTCCTTGTAACCAAGAAAAATCAGCCAACAAACTTTTGGCTTTTTGTTCTTTGCCCTCTCGTTTTTCGAGGTCATCTGAAAAAGTTACTTGAATCTCTGCAGTAATTTCCTTTACTGCTCGGTTCATGATTTGTTTAGGATAAGGGGTACTGCCTGAAGGGAATACTTTATTCTTTTTTTCATTCAAAAGTTCATAATCTTCGACAATTTCCATGACCAACTCGTCGTATTCCGCAGCTTTCATTTTCTTTAATTGTTTGAGTGCTGCTTTGTAATCAGAAAGGTCAATCTCAACTTCATTGTTTATGAGTTCAGTAATATAGTTTTCCAAATTATTTTGGATTGGAGCTTTTCTTTTTTCAATTTTTTGAGGGTGAATTTTTGGGTTTTCGCTTGTCTCATCTCTTAAAAGAAATTGAGAAAGGATGAGTTTAAAATCTGCTTCATTCATTGACATTTTGCGTGTCCTCCTGTGGTTGTTTTCTTACGCTACTTAGTAAACTTTTATTGGCCGTCCCCATCCGCCGATTTAAAGATTGCGTTGGAGACGGTTCGCTTTTGGGGATTCTTCTTGCTCCGTTTTTTCTGCCACAGGTTGAGGGGTAATAACAGGTTCAGCCCTTTGAGTTTTCCCTTTATCTCTCGCTTCCTGGAGGCGCTTTTCAAATTTATTTTCAGGCGCATCTAGGGTATAAACTTTTGTGAGACTTTGTTCTAAACGGTTGATGAGTGTTTGTGCTTGAACGCTAATTGTTTCAAGAGATTTTTCAAAGGACTCAATACTATTTCCGCTTTGTGTCCATGAAGAAAGATAGCCAAAACTGTACTCGCTGGTATCAATTCCTAGATGTTTAGAAACGATATAAGCGACAGATTCTGCTTCAAACTCTTGTCTGCGATACGTCGAATCTCCAAACCTTGCTTTAGAGTCAGTATGCAACATGGCATGTGTCATTTCATGAATCATTGTTCGCAAAGTCATCACTTCTCCTAAGTTTGGTTGTAGAACAATTTTTTGATCTTTAGGACTGAAGTAACCCTTGAGATCAGGGTCATTCATTTTCATCAATTCAATTGGAACTGGAGCAATGGCTTCTAGCGAACGGTAAAGTTGAATGAATGCTTTAGGGTCATCCAAATCTTTAGACAGGTCATAAACAGGTTGAGGGAGCTTTTCTGGATTAATGGTTTGATTGTCCGCAAAAACTGGAACAAGTTTATAGTGTATGACCTTGACGACTTCTCCGTTTTCATCAACAATTGGCCGACGTTGCTCGTCTCTTTTAATGACAGGATTGGGGGCGTAGATATAAGTGGCTTTCCCCCCTTTCTTGACAGGATTGTCAAGCTCATCACCCCATTTTTTATAAGAGGCGACATATTTTGCTTCAGGATTTTGAGCTAAAATAAGACGAACATTTTTTTGTGAGTATTGGTGAAAATTAGAAATGAAATTGAGGAAATTTTTGAAGACATCACTTCTTAAATAATCTTTTACTCCACTTTTGAGATGTTCGGATAATGCGGCATAATCTTTATTTTTAATGATTGACTGAAGGTCATGATCAGCTTGGACTTTGTGCGTTTCTTTTGAAAGTATTTTGATATTTTCAGGATTAAAAACGATATATTCAAGTGAAGGCTGAGTAGAGTCCCCACCTGCAATTGTTCGACGAGCATGAGTAATATTTTCATCTTTAAGCGCCTTTAATAATCGAGGCGCAACTTCTGGTTCACGTCCGATTACTTGATAAATTTGATTGATCACATCAACGTCATTGTCCTCATATTCCAAAAAACTAGCAGCCATTTTAGAGGCAATTGAGGCGTTATAATTATCCCAATCTTCATGAGGTTCATCTCCTCCTTCAGAAAGAATATAAGGATAATCATCTTCTTCAATTTCATCTTTCGCAATGGATGAGATCATCCGTGTGACCGTTTCGTGTGAGAGGGTTAAAGAAGCCGCACTTACAGCTTTTCCTTCAATGACTGAAGGATCAACTTTATAAATTGTTCCTCCATCTGGAGCATAGCGTTTAGCTATATCTTCATGATTTGTGAGGTAAATTCCAAAGCCAAGCCCTACACCATTTGTAGGGTCTTTTTGTAGTTCAAACTTGTCAAATGAGCGGTCTGAACCATGAAACAAGGGTTCAATTTCTGGTGATTGAGTGGTCATATTTTTCCTTTCCAAAAATAAAAAGCAAGAATTTGATTATTCTTGCTTTGCTTATATTGAGTGTGATTTTGATTGTGAGTGTTGAGGAGCATCATTGGTTAGTTGAACTGGTTTAGGTTCATAAGCTTTGAGATAAGGTAAAAGTCCAAAGTAATCAGAAACATAGTCCTCCATAAAATAGGCTTTATCATCACTACCAACTTCATAATTGACACTTGAATCGTACCAGGCTCTTTCTGCAGCCGCAATAAATAATTCAGTTCCATTGTGAGGAGGATTTGTATAATATCGGTCAAAGAGGGCGCTTATTTGTTTTTCGTAACTATAGGTGTGTTCTGGATAATCGCCTGAACTGAAGTCTTCTATAAAACCTGTCAATTCAAACAGAGCATCCGAAACATAAAGAATCTGACTTGCTTGATTAAATATTTCAGAAGGACAGTTTTCAATCATTGTTTGCTTAAAATCATCTTCTGCTTTTCTCAAATCGTTCAGAATACTTTTCTGAGTGACATCAAAATGATAATCAGTTATTATGGTTTGAGGTTTTCCTAAAAATTGATCTACGGTGCTCATCCATTCGTTATAATCCCACTTTCTATCCCAGTCTTGCATTTCATCTTGAAAAGGAAGAAGGCTTACAATTTCATGAATCGCTTCAACGGCTGATTCTCCAAAATAAAAGGGTTCTACAGGGTCTTGAAAGTCGTAGACAACAATTTGGTCATCATTAAAATCCTTCTTCCCCAAAATTTCCCCCTCTATTTTAACTGAATCATCTGGTAAAAGATTGAAGTAGTCAGTTCCTGTCATAATTGAATAGTCATAACCTTCAAGTGCTTCAGAGATTGTATTATCATTCCAATCGTAAGGAAGATGCGTATTCTCATCATAGCTTCTATCTTGAAGAGGTAAAGAACCGATAAGAGCCGCAGGAGGGAGAGAGATTCCTAGTTCTTTCAAAGTAGCTAAACTTGTGCTATCTCCAGAAAAATAGTCAAATTTTAGGAGACTTTCAATTCCTTTGATATTATAGGTTTCTGAATCTAGGTCGTAGATTGTTCCACCTTCTGGGATATCCTCCACAAACCCAGAAGAAAAATCTTGGTCGGTGTACCATTCAATCAAAGCCATTCCCAAAGAAGAATAAATTGAGTGATCATTCAAGTCATCCCATTGAACAACAAGCGGATCAGGAGTTTCATTATTAAAGTATAAAGCTTCTTTTATATAAGCTTGTTGTGAGTCAGAGAGATGAGAATAGTTGACAATGCTCATCCCTGATTGACTAATCATTTTGGAAAGTTCAGGATATTGATCATCCATATAAGTTAGGTCTTTTTGCATGCTTGAGAGGAATGCTTGATTGATCATGAATCTTATTTTTAGTGAAGATTGATCAACATTACTTTTTTCTTCATTTGTTCGTTCCGCATCAGCTTTAGTATTAGACCCAAAGATTTCATCCGAATCATTCTGAAGTTGATTAAATAAATTTGTTGTAATTTCAAGTGGTTTTGCAATGATTCCCCCTGAAGTTTGTTGGTAGCTGAAAAAATAATGCGCAATCGTTTTAAACTCTGAATAAGACATGGTTTTCACCGCTTCGCTGACAAGAATATTTTGAAATTCTGCTCTATTATTACTCTTAGCAGCTTCTAGTAACCACTCTCCAGAACTTCGACCCATGAGATGGTAGAACGTGTCAGGGTCGATATTTTCGATAATCGCAGGAATGACCGATTCATAATAACCGACGTTGATTGCGGATTCTTCTACAATTTGCTTTTTTATTGCTTTAATTTGTTTTTGTTTCATTTATATTTACCTCTGAGTTTTCAATTTTTTCTCTATCCTTATAACCATAAAGCCAAGCAGGTACAAGTGTATCTTGAATAAAATAACTTAATCCAATACCTTGATGTTTTTCTACGGCTTCTTTAAGTAAAGGGGCAAGGCCTTGAGTGTATAGCGCAGAATAATATTCAAACCCATTTTTGAAATTCTTACTCCAACTCCATAGATTAAGATTAATATTTTTTTCTAATAACTCCTTTGCAATCGGCCCAACTTCTACTCTTTTGTCAAGGTTATCTTCTACAGATTTTTGTAATAACACATATTCTTGAGCATTTCCCCAACGTTCAAATTCACTTTTAGGAAAAAGCTCTACAGGAAAGCCAAGTTCATTTTTTCTACAGCCATAACGCTCAAATAATTGTTCAGGAATCTTCACTTTATTTAGCTCAGCTACCATAATAAAAAAGGCAAGCGATTTTTGTAGTTCTTCATTTTCTTTAATTAATTGTTTTTTCTTCATACTCTCTCCCTATTTATTTTTGTTTAGTTGCAGCAGCCTGCCTAAGACGAGTCGCAAAATCTGGACGTGCTTCTGCAGCTTTCTTTAACCGCTCTTCAAAGGGGGATTTTTGAGGCGTTTTAATTCGTTGGAGGATTTCATTCCAGTCCGATTTTTTCTCTCCAGGAGTTACTTTAGGAAGGTGTGGAATAACGGAAACTTTGGTAATTCCAAAATCTTCTACGAATTTTCGACCAGCCTCATCATTATCAACCGCTAATATTATTTTTACAGCATCAATTCCATTTGTAGAATTTTCAATGACATCAAGCATTGTTGCCTTTCCTTCATCTGTACCAGAAACATTAAGTGCATTGGCAAGAGTCGTTGAAATAACACTTTTCTTACGACCATGCATTGCTACAAAATATGCATCACCGATTTTTTCTTTGAACAAGTCCAAATAGGCCATCATATCAAAGCCAGACTCAAAGGCAATAATCTTTAGAGGATGTTCTAGTGTCATTGTTTTATTGGTTGGGGGCTTACCAACTTTAACTACACAACCATAGGATCCATTACCAAATGTTTTTTTCAGCTTATCACGTCCTGGATAAAGGTCAGGATGATCGATCATCCCTTGGAGCGCTATTCCTTTTATCTCACCATTTGAGTCAATGTTTTTAAATACAATTACTGGATCAGGTTGTTCTTGTCCTCGATCTTTATATTTAGATTGCGCAAGAACCCCTTGATTAATTAGAAAATCAATGGTCTCATTTGATATTTGGCGTTTTTGAGATGTAAATACTTTTAATTCTGTTGCATAAGGAGTTTCACTTAGAAAATATTTGAATTCTTTCTTTGGAATAAGATTTTTATCAAATTTAGAAATCTCTTTTCCAGTTAAAAACCGAACCGCTTCTCCGTAAGAACACTCCATAATGGTTTGAGCCAATTTTATAGGGCCACCCCCAAAACCCTGGGAGTTCCAATAAAAATAGTTTTTCCTAGTATCAAATTTTAAGCTATCATGGTCTTTCCATTGATAATCTTTCCCAATACGCTCAAGTGTCATTCCGAGTTGTTGTGCCACTTCAACGATATTCTTATTATTGGCATCCTCTCTGAGTTTTTTGCGCTCTGAGTGGGAGGAGAGTTGCCTTGTTTGAGGTCTATTATAATTTGCCATTATTTTCTCCAATCAAAAAAGACGTCTTTACAGATGCCTTAGTTTAATATTGCGATATTTAGTTAAAAGCATAATTAAAAGCTTGTTTAACGATAACTTCACATTCATTAATAGAGGTTGGATAACCCAGAAATTTCCTATTGCTTTCAATTATGAGTAAAACGGTATTCTTTGTTTCTCCCTGAATCCCCAAGCGCTCGCAAATTTCGTCAAACCACTTGCTTTCATTTTTATTGTTCTTTTGTAATCCCATTGAACTTCCTTTCTTAATAAAACGATTGTTAAATTGATATAAAAAAAAGACATCTTACTTGTCAGATGTCTCTTTATTTTTTATGATTATCTTGATTTGTTTTTTGATGGCTCATAATACCGAGTGGGGGCTGTAGAAGTTTGCTTATCTCTTTTTGCCTGATTGAGACGTTCCTCAAATTTATTAAGTGGCAGTTTTCTTACTGGAGCAATTTCTAAAAACTCTTTGAGGGCTTCTTTTTCTGAATTTAATGCACCAGGTAATCCAACACCATAAAAGCCAAGTAAGCCATCCATAAAGCGGATATAGAGTCGTCCAGTTGGAGGCATAAGGTAATTTTGACTTTTAAAGGCACCTAAAGCATGGTTGGCCGCAATGAGAGCCGTTCGCTTATTTCCATCTTGAAAAGGTTGAAGTTTAGCAAGTCTTGCAAACATTGCCCAGGCATCTAAGTCACTCTTACTTGAATTTTTCCAAAGTTCTACAATTTGGTCAATGTCTTCTTCTTCAATCTGTGCTGGAGGGTAGTATGAGATTGTTCCCCCATCATCTCCAGGCCACAAGTCCACGTGGATTCGGTCTCGTATTGGGTCATAAACCCCATCACGAAGATGTCCTGGTCGGTAAGGTTGTTCCGCACTATCTCCAATAAATTGAGAATTTGTGGTAATAATGCTTTCTCGATCAAAAGGCATTTCCTTTATAATTTCAATAGCACGTACTGTATCTTCAAAAATCACACGGTCATCATTATCATTACGGAGCGGCTCAACTGAACCAGAATCGAGCGCTGCTTTGGTTTGAGCAACAGTACTTCCGTAGTCATTAAATCGTCCTAAACTGGCAATAAACTGGGCTAATTTTTCATTATCCATGAGTCTTCTCCTTCCACGTTTCTTTTTCTAATTATACCATTTTTAGTTTATCTTGAGCGATGTTTCTCTTGAGTGACTTCTTGAGACTGAGAAATGGTCGCTTTTTGAGCTTTTTTCTTAACTTCTGCTTTGGAAACACGCTTTTCAAAGGCATTGGGCTGCTTTTTTTGGTTACTGTAAGCCGCAACCATTTGAGTTTGTTGGGCTTCAGTAAAGACTTGATCGACAGACAGACGACCATCCATTAAGCGGTCAACCAGGTCTTTTTTCAATAAATCGCTGATTTTTATACTACTCAAGCCTTTAATTAATTCAAGAGGAACACCAGGCACGTCAACTTTCTGATTGGCTCGATAACCATAAGTTGGATTCCCTAACTCATCTTGAGATTCATGAGCGGCATCAATGGAGAGAGGGCTTCTTTCTAAGATTGGGCGAAAGTCTTCTGGCAGAACAGAGGCACTAGGTTTGGGACTTTCCTTGGTTAGTTCAACTTCTGGAGCTGCAGTTTTATTCTTTTTAGTTGGTTCTTCTTGCTTTGAAGGTTCAACTTTTTTAGATTTCGATTTGTCTGACTGAAAATCTGGACGACGTTCGCCCACTCGAACTCGTGGACGTGCAACTACTTCAGGCTCTGGAGTTTTTTCTATGTTGGTTTTTTGCTCTGTTTCAATTTTAGGTTGTTGTTGCTCTACCCCTAAAGCTTGAATTTTTTGTTCTAACTGGCCTTTAAACCAGTAGAGAGTGACGTGAGAAGAGAATCAACACGCATGGTTTTCATTGAAATTCTAAGCGCTGTTTGACTCTTCAGCTTAGAGGTCTTAATGAGTCGGTTAACAAAATCTGTCACACGTTGTTGACTTTGCTTGCTTACGGAGGCGGTCTCTTTTACAGTTGTTTTCACTTCTTTTGAGAGTGGCCCACCTTTTGAGAGTTGTTCTAACTTCTGGAGTGCCTCGTTGTGCATTTTTTCTAAATCACTATAACGATTAAGTAATTCAGAAATTTGTTGAGCTTGTTGGCTATTGAGTGCTTTTGATTGTTGTAAATCATCTAAAGCCTGGTTTAAATTCGGATCCTCTTGTTTTTCCATTTGTTCCCTCTTCTTTCTTTAATGTTTAAGCAGGAATTTCAGATTGAATCATTCCATGATCATTTAAAATACTTGCTCCACGCCTTACATCATCAAGCAATTTTTCTTCTTCATTCATGTAACGACGATAGTTAAACCAGTTTTTATCACCTGGATTTCTAGCCAGTTCATCCGCTCTAGGATGTTCATAGGCATAATATTTGCGGTCAAGGAAACCACGGTCTTTTTTAATGAATACGAGGCACTCATCGCCGTCAATAGTGGCGATTTCGTCTCCCATCATAAGGTCACGGCCAGTTTTATCTCGACTTTCAGAGCCTCCGCCATTGCCACCTTTAGAAATGCTATGTTTTCTAAGAGAAATGGTTTGTTTCCCTAAACGTTTAGATAAGAACTCTAAAGTTTTTGGGTCATCTCCTCCCAAGTAAATAAGGCTCGCACAATTATCAACGATTTCTTCCCAGTTATTTTTATACATTTTTTTAAGTTGCGCCAGAGACTGAAGAATGACCATGAATGACATTTCACGTTTACGGAAAGTAGCCAAAGCTTCTTCAAAGTTGGCAATCTTACCAATATTGGCGAACTCATCAATTAGAAAACGCACGTGCAAAAGTTTATTTCCAGGGGCTAATTGTTCCCTACCAAGCCTGATTCGGTCTGACTTCGCACGCAATGTTTCCATAATCGTTGCCAGAAAAATATTGGCAATAAAGTTAAACGACTTACTTGTCTCTGGAATGGCAATAAATACGGCTGTTTTTTCTTCATTCCATGACTCAATATCCATAGAATCGTGACGAATCATATCTCTCAGTTGATCATGGTCAAAGACGGAGTAACGTGAGGCCGCAATCCCAAGGACACTAGCACGAGTTTCTGATTTATAAAGGTCATTAAAAAGCGACCATTGGCGATAAGCATAATTATCAGGATGGAGCTTATTTTGCTCATCAAACCATTCTTCAACTGGACTCGGCTTTTTAGGGTCATCTCTCTCCAGATATCTCAACATGTCAGAAATCATCCCTAAATGAGGGGTATAATTGTTATCTTTTCCGTCAAACCAGAGGTAGGCGATAATGGATCGAACTAAAAGGGCTTCAGCTTTCACCCAAAAATCTTCCCCTTGATTATCACTACTTTTTGTTCCTTCAGTAATTGCTTCTAAGACACGGTCAATATCCAACTCAGTTTTGATATAGTTAAAAATATTGAACGTGTCGCTATTGGTCAAGGTATTTAAATCTAATATTTTGATGTTATACTTTGCTTTTTTGAGCATTGCACCAACACGGTAAACAAGTCCACCATCAGGATCAGTAATCACAAAAGAGGCATTAAGCTGCATAATATTCGTCATAATAAGCGCCAAGGTTTTCGCTGCTCCAGAGTCACCTAAAACCATATCACTCTTATTTTTTTGAACCTTTTGAGGGAGACGATCATTAAAGAGTCCCATTTGAACATTTTTACTTAAAATTTTATTATTCTCAGGTTCTGGGTCTCTATATTTTTCTAACTCTTCCTCTTTTGCTAATCGAGCAGAACCATGTTCCACGTTTGTTCGATAAATTCCTGAATCATTATTATAGACAAACATTAACATCCCAACCAAAAAGAAAACAACTCCACATACGAGAGCTGCAAAGGAAGGATGATAGAAGAAATGCCAGAGTTCTTTATTAAAGTAACCTAACAGGTCTCCGCTTGTTAGAAAAATTTCCTTACTATAGATTGAATCTCCAGGTAACATCCAGAAGAAATTACCTATCGCAAAACCTAAAATAAAAAGGAATCCTGACAATATCAAGTAGGGTTTAAACTTTTTCTTATAGGGTTGATTATTGTTTTTATTTTTCATCCTTTTCCTTTCATTGTAGCTTTAACTGAAGGTGCTTTTGAAAGGTCTCCTTTAAATTGTTTGTTTTCCTTAACATATTTTAATCGCTGTTCAAAAGTCATTCGACGTGGATTTTGAACCACTTTTTTCGCAAAATCTGAAGGATTTTTCGTAATATGTTCAAAAATTTTGCTAAGTGCCTGGTAGGCTAACTGTTCATCTTTAATTTTAAAATAGAAATTAGTCCCTCCAGGTACTTCTTTGAATGCAAAAGGTAAGCCGACTTCGTCCAAATAACTTTTGAGTTGATTCAAATCAACATTTTGTTGCAAGAATTTCATTGAAACAGGGTCACTACTATTAAGCAATTTATAAAGTCCTATTTCTCCTTTCAAGGGTTGTCGCTTTTCAACCCATTGATGAATCCCATCAGTAGAGAGGTTAGCCAAAACTTGTAGGACAACCCTTAATGTGTTCCCTCCATGAATATAGAACTTATCTAATATTTCTTTTTGTTCCATTTAATTTCTCCATTTTAACCCACACGATGATGAAGCGAAATTACACCACTTGAGTTTTTTCGACGTTCAACGTTTTGAATCACTTCTCCATGATTCGTATTAAAGCCTTCAAGCACTTCTGAGACGGTGTTTTTCATTCCCTCATTAACTGCTTTTTGACGTAATTGAAGTTCTTCAGTTTTTCCTTGAAGGATAAGATTGAGCTGCTCAGTTTGACGTTCGTACTCTTCTTTAATTGCGGAAGATAATTTAGTAGAAAATTCTTCAGTTAGTTTTGCTAATTGGCTCACTCGGTTAGCTTCACTCTCAGATTCAATCGATTTGAGGGCTGCCTCATGCCGAGCCTTTTCAGTAGTGATTGCTTCAGTTTTTTCTGATTCAACCTTTCGGTTCAATTCTTTAATCTCAAACTCTTTTTCGTCCCCAAAACGTTTGGATAACGTGGGTTCAATTTTATCTCTTGTATCAAGAGCTTCAATTTCCGCATTGATTTTGGCAGTTTCTTGATCAATAAAATCTTCAAGACGTTTATTAGCATCATACTTAACCATCTTGATGACATCAAGAACATTGACATCTTCAGATGAATCAGAAGAGACTAAAGGAGTTGCTAAAATAGCTTCGGAAACATGATCATCTTTGACTGGTGGATTTTCTACTTTAGCTATTTCCTCTTTTTCTTGTGAACGAAGAGATTGCTTAAGACGTTCAATCTCTTCATCTTTATCTTTCATCTCCTTAGCGACAATTTCTTTAATTGCGTCTTCTGTTAAAAGCGTTGAGGCAGGAACATTGATTTCAGTACGTCCAGTATCATTTGAGGGTTCACTTGGATCGTCATTAATGACTTGTTTATCTCTTCCAGAATCTGACTCATCTTCTTCTTTGTCATCCGATAAATCTAATTGTGGAGCAGGAGCGTAGTCATCGTCATTTTCTTCACGTTTATTAGAGTTTTGTGGAATAATGGCGTAAGAAATCTCATTTTGACGTGATTTAGATAGTGTATCTTTAATAACTTGTGAACGCTCATCTTGAATTTCCAAGATACTTTCATCAAAATCAAGTGGCTTTCTGGTGTAGAAAGGTTCAAGTAACGCATCAAAGTTTGTTTTAGCGGTCATTGGTAGTTCTAAACGTTGAGCAAATAAAATTTGCTCTCCTTTCTTAGAGCTTTCAATCTTTGAGACGACAAGAGAACCTTGTTCCTCGTGATCTAGTAATTCTTGATTCTCACCAATAATAAAATTAACTAAATCACCCGCATTTCTTACTTTATCCGGACGAATATTTTGAACTTGGCTTAACTCAATCCGATATTTTTTCTTATTAAACATTCCTTCAAACATTAAGCTTCTCCTTCAGATTTTGTGGGTTGTTGAGAGTTATTTTTAATTCCAATAAGGTCTTGTAATTCTGAAAGACTCATTCCACTTTGTACTAAGGTTTCAGAGAGTATTTCAGCTTCCACTCGCTTACTTTCTTGCCTTTTTTGTTTGGCCGTTTCTTGATACTTTTTGGCTTGTTGTTCAGCCTTTTCAGCTTCTGCTTCCAGGCGTTTTTTTCTTTTTTCCAATTCTTCTAATTTTGTCATTTATTTCTCCTTTGTTGTGCTGACTTCTGAACTAGAGCTAGAGCTAGGGCTAGAACTTACAGTTGAGTTTGAACTCATGCTCATACTACTTGAGCTGCTTGACGGTTCTGTAGGAGCAGTCGGATAGCTGTTTGCACTTGTCGTTCCATCAGGTTCTACTAATGTTATCGCCTCTAAATTATTCACCAGGTACTTTTTACCTTGTTGAAGAAACGTTAAACGAATGGTTACCTTATTGGGCTGATCAAATAAAGCGCCTACCTTAGAATTTAGTTTGGTCAACTGGGTATTTTTATAAGTTACATTACAAATTGCAGTTAAGTCTTTTTGATTGATATAAATATCAGCCTTGCTAAAGACTTGGTCAATCACATAACCTTTATAGGCTTGATTAACTGGTAGTTTCTCATTAGACGTTGCTTGATTATACATGCTGTCAGTCATCAATGGTTTGTATCGATTGTCATTTTCACCTAAATCTTTCTTTGTATAGTAAGCAATAAGAAACTTATTGACTGTGCTGTCTGATAATTTTTTTGTATCGACAGTAACCTTTGGTTTTTCAACTTGTTTTATTGCTGCTTGTTTTCCGCTCATCCCAATCGTGAATCCGATTCCTCCTACGACTAATACCGCAAAGATGATGACTACGATTAAGCTGACCCTTTTGAAAGTCTTTAATTTTTTTTGATTATACACAATAGTATTCTTATTTTTACGCTTATATCTGATATCACAACATCCGATACCTCAGGCGTTTCTCTCCACTCATCCGCATGCTCAACTAGGTATTCATAAGCTTTACGCGGCCTTTTAAAATACTTTGAATTAACGATAATCGCAAAACTTATCCCCCGTATTTGAGAATTTCTTATTTGTCGGCCGATATAACTAAGGGTTTTTAGATCTTCTTTGCTATAATAAACCAAATCAATGACATCTTTTGAGTGATTATTAACATTTTTATTAAACTCTTCAGCTGAGTAATTTGGATCACGGAATAAACCTATCGTAGAGCCAAGTGCCTCTTCTTGCTCTATAATGAAGTTGTCTAATGCTTCTTTATCTTCAAAGTAGTCATAGCCATTGATTACAGTATCAGAAAGAAGTCTTTTTCCTTCCTTTTTCGTCATAGCGGATTTCTCTGTCAAACTCTGTATATCTTCTAGTAAGAGACGACAAATCTCAATATATCTATCAACGGAAATCTCTCTGGCGCACTCAAATGAACGAATATAACCATCAAGACTACGATATTTTTGAGGAATATCTTCAATTTTTAAATGATTCGAAAGAACGTCGTCATAAGCAGCAATTGGTTCAGGAGAGATATTTTTAAGTATGTTTGGTTCTACAAACTCTTGTTGTTCGCCCTCATTATTTCCGATTATTGTTAATCTCTCATCTTTTTTGGCATTTTTTAGCCAATTTGATAGGTAGTCTGGATCGTGAAGATACCTTGCAACCAATAATAAGGAGCCGAGTGTATCGTTTTCCTGATGGCGACTTACTATATTTGTTAAAGTATTAAGTAATTTAATATATTCTTTCTGATAATCTACTTCATCCAGAATATTATGGTTACTACTTTTTACAATTTCTCTTAGCTCAAGTGTTCCACTTCGAGCGTTATAAAGGCTACAAGACAATATTTCCTTTAACTCATCTATGTTTGAGGACTCTACTCTCTCTTTAGCAACGCTTTTTCTTGAATTTAAATCCTGATTATCACTATTTTGAAACGCTTTATCATTGAACTCATTTTGATTAGCTTCAGCAGAACTTGAAGTTAAAAGCATTCCCTTTGCTTCAACACGTTGGAGAAATGCGAGTGAACAATTTAATTCAGAAATAATATTTTCTATGCAATATTGCTTTTTGAGCGGATTAGAAGAATCATAAATTGATAAGTAGGACGCTATCTCTTTTACATTGGCAGATATCGAAGACAAAACCATACTAGGTCGATCTAAAGTCAATTTTTTTAGTGGACGATCGATAAAAAGTTGGGTAGTATCTATTGCACTTATGGCATAATCAAGAGCATTCCTTAAACTAGCATCATAGCTATCCATAATTCGCTTTTCAAATTGGTCAGGATTTAATGGAAATTTCTTTTGCAAATCATTCAACAGCTCAACTTGACGTTGTATTTCTTCAATTTTGTTCTTCGTATCGTATTTTAGTTGTTTATTTTCTTGCATTTCAACTGATTGTTTATCTTCCTCCGACATTTCTTGTTCCTGCTCTTTGAGTGGCTCATCAAAATTAAAAACCTCCTTTTTAGGAGGTTTTAGTCTACACTTCAAGGCAACCAAGGAAACTGTCACCAATGATGTGATTGAAAATATAGAAATCAAAGTTTTTTTCATGATATTAACCTATTATTTCTATTTATCTAATTTTTCTTCAACTATCAATACTTGAAAAATACTTACAAATAATAGAAAATAACAGGCCGTTGGCACCATTGATTTTCCAAAACTAAAGCATATTATTGATATCAATAAGGTAATGAGAAATAAAACTCTGTATATATTTATCTTCATTTTTTTCCTCTCTATAAAAAAATACTGAAGATATTCCTCAGCATTTATTATTTATTTACGAATCTTACGAACAGTCTTACGATAAGTAGATACTATCCAGTTCCGTTTAAGATATGCAGCAAGGCCTAATAAAGCTACACCGAAGATTGAAATACCTAAAGCAGCTTTGCCTTCCCCTGTTGTTGGAAGTGAACCTGCGACTTTTTCTACAATTGATTTTGGCTTTTCATCTACTTTTCCATACCATTTATCATCATCAGACACATGTTTTTTAGAGTAAACTCCAATACCATCAATTGTTACCTTATCTCCATGAAGTTCGCCCTCTGGTAGTGCGTCAAGCGTTCCTGAACCGATAACTGATTCTTTTGGTTGTAACACTAAAAGTTTTCCGTCAAGTTCAAACTCTCCGTCTTTATTGACGGTTAATTTTTTATCATTATACGTAAAGGTCATGCCTTTAATATTAACTGAACCATTTGTGGTTTTATCGACAATTTTAATATGATTGAGTGGTTCATTGCCATTATTAGTGCCACGGAAGAATATTTTAGTTTCAGCTTTGGCTTAACTTCAAAGTAGGTATCTTCTGTGTCGTGGTCATTAACCCCAATGTTATTGTCTTTGTCCGTATGATTACCATTCCCTGCGTCAGGAACCTTTGCATTGGCTTTTTCTACGTCAATTGACGGAGTAACTTTTTCAACCGTTAATGTTTGGTCTTTGTCTTTAAGGTCGTCATGTGTCGCTTCTGGCTTACCTGTATCAGGGTCTGCGTCCTTATCTACAATATCCTCAGTAAAGACATAAGTTACTGTTGAACCGTCAGGAATATCAAAATCTTTTGTTGTATCTGCAGTAGTATCAAATCTATGTTGTTGTGATTTGACGGTTTCATCATCAGCAGTAAATTTTAAAGTTTGTACGACTTTATCACTCGTTACTTTTCCGTCTTTATCCGTTACAAGTCGGTGTAGTTTAGATGTGATACGGTCGCCTTTTTCAATGTTTGTAAAATCAGCAATATCATACATTGCAGTTTTTTCAGACACTTCGTTTACTTGAATAATTTTGTCGCCGTCTTTAGAGTGGGCTTGGGTTTGAATTGTGGGTTTAAGCTTTTCAGTTGGTTTATCTGTAATTGTACCTAAATCTAATTTAAGTAAGATATTATTATCTGTCACTTTATCAGCATTTATTGAATAACTAGAAATTACTTGACCTGTGACAGTATCTTGAATCACAATCTTATAGGCTTTTGGAGTGCCTTTATCATCAACATCAACTGAAGTTTTAACTGTAAATGGATTGATCGCTTGTGTTCCGTCAGGAACAGTCGTTTCTTCAATCTCATAATCGCCCCACGCTAAACCGTCAGGACTAGCATTGCCTGCGTCAGTATTTGCTTTACCGTCAAAAAGTGTATAACCATTTTTAGTAAAGCCATTTGTGTCTGTCGTTGATTTTGAAAATACTGTAACTGGTTTTCCTTTAGTACCCTCTAAAGGTTTAGCCGTGAAGCCTGCACCGTCAAGACCTGTTAAAGAACCATTAACATCTTGTGCTTTCCACCATTGAAGCTGTAAAGCAAGGGCTTTGTTTTGTGCTTCTTTATTATTTCCAAAATCATTTGTGCTTACATCTACAGCTTCTTTCCCTGTAAAATCAACTGGAATATGTTTTGTAGAAAGAGAGTAGCCCTTAGAGGTGCGTAATTCTTTCCAATAAAATTGGTCATTGCTAGATAAATCTAAGTTTTGAACTCCTACTTTATTATCTTTATCAAGTTTCAATTCAACATTGGTATCATTATCCTTAGTACCGTAGGTAATGGCAATAGGTAATGATTTTATGCCGTCAGTCCATTTAACAGCAGTATCATCTTTGGTATAAAATAGTCCATAAACAATACCGTCCCAATCGCCTTTACCTTGAGTATCAGTATTATTAGTGTCTGCGTCATACTTAACAAGGCTAGTAGAGCCTGTAGGTTTTTCTTTTGATTCTCCGTCAACGTGATAATTACTTGTTGCACTATTGAATGAAGAATTTTCATCAAACGTGAAAGCATGTTTTGTTTCATCTAAAGCAAACCCTGCAGGGGCTTTTGTTTCTACAAAATAATATTCTTTATCATTAGGAAGATTTTTTACTCCAAAAGTAGCGTCAGTTCCAACTTTTAATACAGCATTAG